CAATAAATTCATTTACCCATAATCATGCTATAATTCATCCATAAATAAACTTGCATTTTTATGCATAATTTTTTAATTTTCATCATTTTTATCACAAAAATCTGTTAGTAAAGCAAATAATGCTTTTAATAATTAGATTACATAACTTTTAGTTTCCATTGAATAAAATGGATCATCCAAAACCTTTACTAATTGTTATTAAGTATCTCTTATAAAATTTAGCAAAGGTTCATATGCATTCAAAAAATTAAAAATTTTTTGTCTTGAAACTGATATTTAATCTGTTCCATTAATAACTCTACTTTTATGATCAATTGATGTTCCTTATTTCAATAATAATTATAAATCTGCCAATATCTTTAGTATCTTTTAAATTTCTTTGACTTCTCCCTATGGAGATGCTAAAAAATCAACCAGCCAAACTTCAGAACATTCAGTAATTACTTTCAATTCTTATATTGAAACCTCTAAAAACTGATAACAACCAATCTCAACCTTATCAAATAATAATTCAATTCTATTCAAGTGATACATCATTTCAGAGACTTAGGAAAAAGATCTTCTCATTAATTCAATAAGTTCATTTTACAAACCAAAATCATTTGTGACAAAAAATGTTACAATTAAAGTAGGTAATAATTATAATTCAGCTTATGTTTCTCCAGATGTCAATTTATCTAAATCCATGGTTTCAGTTAATTATGGGTTTTATATCTAAAATTTCTTTTATTGTGCCAGTAAATTTCCAACTCCTATTAATTCATTCATATCATTCGATTTATATATAGCCTCTATGCTTGTTTAGGCTTATTTATCAATGGCTTCAATTCCAGTTTTTAAAAAAGGAGGTAAAGCTTGCACTAATTCTGACTCCAGATCTTTTAAAAACTTATCCTTTAATAATGTATTGTTCCAACTAAATTATTGAAATTTAGTAGTAAAATTTTTATAAAATTAAATAAAGTTTGAAACATAAAAATCTTATCTTTAATCTTAAAAGTATAAAAGGATTCCACAAACTTCTTTTTAAATTTCAATCTCGAAATTATTTTGTATTTGTTATTAATTTTAATTTTTTGAATTTGTTTCTTGCACTCCAAGAGTATCCATATAAGTAATTATGGAAATAAGACTAGAAACTATTGGATTTCTTGCAATAACAGTAGTGTCATAATCTGAAAATTCATCTTCTAATGACCCTTATTATTTTGGTGGAATTCCTAAAATAGATAATGCTAGGTCTTTAGCAAGTTTTGTAAATTAAGATTGCGCAGTTACTTTTCCAATAACATTTAAATTTATTCCTTCTGAGGCTTTCTTGATTTTTGATTCTCTGACTGATTTTAAAATATATGAATATAGTAGGTTATTTTTATCATATTCTAAAAGAGCAATTAGTTTTGGTACAATATTTACATATAAATCTTCTTTCTTCATTATTTTTAGCATGTCAAATCTAATCATTATTGAGATTAATTTAGTAATATCAAGTACTAATGGATTTATAAAGGATTCCTATTCATTTTATTAATCTTTATTTCTTGCTTATCTTTTTTTATCTTCAGGGTCTTAATTTATTTATAAACCTTTCGATCTTTATTACTCCTTTTTTTAGTCTAGATCTAGATTTATTTAATCATAAAGTTCATTTAAAAATTTAAAGGTCTTTTCAACTAAAGGAGTATAAGTTGATGCTAGTTTTGTTAGTTTATTAATTGATTAAACACTTTTTGAAATAGGCTTAGTTTCTGTATATAATCTACATAAATTTGGAACTATAGCTTTATTAAAAGGCTCATGATCAACATAAACTAATTTTTAGTTATATATTACTTGTAATTGCCATGTTGCAGAATGCTGACTTATAATTGATTTACATAGATTTATCAAAAACTTAATCAGAATTTCCTAAACTTTACTTACTTTAATCTTTGTCTTCATCAAAAATTTAATTAAATACAAATTAGGTTGGAAAAATACGTTCTAAATATGATTTCCACAAAAAATTTCTTTAATATGCTAAATCTGCATATAAAAATAATTATTCTATTAAATAATTTTAAATTAAAGGACTACAATAATATATAATTATTTACTCTTTGATACTGGTTATGTATGCAATTTATGTTTGATCTACGCATATTTTCATTTTTGTGGATTCACTAAGTATAATAAATACAATTACATGATGATTGGCATAAATAGAGAACTTTTAAAATTTTCATTTTGTTTGATAAATTTGAATATCATTTCTTAATTTACTGATATACTTTAGTCATTTAATCTACATATGCATCTGAAAAATTATAAGTATTAAATATTTCTTTATCCTTAACTATCTTCTGTTAAATTTTTATAATATAATAATATATTTTTCTTTTCATCAGCAGATGAATTAAATTGAATATCCATTTCATCTGATAATTATGATTCATCACTATCTACTTATTATCGTGCTTTTAATTTCTCATTTAATTTGATATGATCACACAAATTGATTAAAATTTATTCATTGCCACTAAGAACTGTTATTATGCAATCTGTTGCTTCTTTAAAATATTTGATTTAATATAAAAAGTTTGGAAACAATTTGTAAATATAAAATTAGTTTTCTGGATTATCTTAACAAATGCTTCTAAGTAATCGATATATCACTTTTAAAACACTCATTTTTTCAGATAAAAATGCCATTTCCATTTTCTTTTTTCTAGCTTAAGTTCTTTATTAAGATTATATTGCATGAGATGAGACTAGCTAACTAGCTGCTGATCTACCTACAGCAATTTAATCTTTAAATATATAATCATAAAATACTTAAAGAATTTATTTATGAATCTTTTTGTCTTAAAGGACTAATATCTGAACCAATATGAGATCTTTAAGAAACAGCAATAGTAGTTTTCATTTATTTTTCTAAGGCAGCCTTATGTTAGGCTAATTAATATTCACTATATTATCTTAATTCATCTTCATTAGTAATTTATTTCATTATTTCAATTAGAAGATCAATAAAATATTATTCTCTTAATATTTTTTATCTCTATAATATTGCCACTTTTGTATTTTTAATATCAAGTTAAGTATTTATTAAAGAGTTTTGACAAAATTTTTCTAATTTTTCAATTGTTGTTGTTAATTTCTTATATGTTTTAATCATTTATTATTTTTATGCTTCTTTAGTCATATCTTTATTAGATTTAAGTTTAGTTAAACCTCTTCTTAAAACTGGGAAACCTGTAATTAAAAAGTTTGTTTCTAAAACATCACTATAATTTGCCTTGTACAATTTTAATACATCATCATCCTCAGTATTATCAGTTAATCTTATAACAATTACTGATTTATCTTCTTCAACAACAGTATCCTTATATTTACTATTTGCTTATAACTAATAATATATTATAGAAATTACTATTTTTTTTTATTCTAAATGAACCCATTATGAAGATTTTCCTACTGCTTTCATTTTCATAAATGCATCTTTTGTAACATATTTCTAGCTTACTGCATTGGACCCCATAGTTGGGACAGCTAAAAATTAGAATAAAGTATTTGGTGTAGGTTAATCAGATAAGTATAATAATAATTATCCTGTTTTTATTGGCTCATAATTTATAGCTAAATATTTTCCAAGAATGAAATGTCTCAATCGTAAGCTTTAGCCCCATTCAACCAATCCTCCTTTATTTAGATCTTCATTTTCAATCTAAAACATTCCATTAGAATCTCCATTAAATTCACTCTGTTATTCATTTGATTATTTCTAAAATGTTATAATTAATTCATTATCTTAATTTCTTCCCAAAGTTAAAAGTGAATTTTCTTCAATATGATGAATCCAAATAACATCATTAAAACTTATAATTTGTTCATTATCATTTTAATTACAAAACACTGTTAATACCCAAGGACTCTAATGTTCTAATGAAATATTGACTTCACTTGTTTACCCAATAGGTCTTACTTCTTCTTCTTATTTTACTATAGATTAAAAATCTTATTTACATGTTGTTTATCTTCTAATACTTTATCCTTTTGCTAAGCTGGCTACTTTCTAAAATTTCTATATAGTAGGTGTGACTTCTAAGACATCCTATTATTGTGCTAATTGATCTGTCATCTTTTTAAGTAATTTTAAATTAGGAACTGCATAGATAGATCTATCCTGTAAATACTCATATGTATCCATAACACCATATTTAAGTGTAGCTCTCAATTTTGGTTTAATACCCAAATAAATATGATCACACATAATATAAACACTATCTCCAGCATAAACTTCTGAATTCGATTCTTTTTAATGAACAAAGGCTGGTTACAATTAAAATACCGTTTTTGAAGAAGGATATTCTACTAGTTCTAATCTAAAGTTTTCTTTTTCATCTTTTGCTTCTTTACTAGATAGAGATAAAAATCGATTTGTTGCTACATGCATAAACTATATTAAATTATTGAAAGATAATGGCTTATCCTTATATTTTGTAGAAACATCAATATTAGATTTATAATCTGCAATAATCTATGATAACATTTTGATTTATACTTTAGTTTATAGATCTTTGAGTTTCTACATTTTTTTTGAATTATCATCCTGCATAGTCTCTTCTTTAAAATTTATAGCCATTTGCAATTTGGTTGTAATGAAATCAGGATAAATTCTATACAAACTGTAGTAATAGAGTGAACCTGCAGCCATAATATCAGGTGATATTTCAACTAGCTAATCTTATTTTTAGTACTATTACCTTGGCATCTGTTTTAACTAATCCATCACTATAGACAAAAAGAGATTAATTGGCTAATGGACTTATAGATATCACCTATCCAAATTTTAAAGATTCCCCTTTATTAGACATATTAATTAAAAAAATTATAATAAATGCATAACTAATAAAACTCAAATAAAAAGACCAAACAAAATGAGTTTTATAAACATTTTCAATAAAGAAAATTATTTTTATATTATAAAAAATAAGCCAAGAAGTATAATAAAAAGAAGAATGTAAAACTTTAATAGTATGATGGATTTTTTAAAAGGACGCGTATTGGATAGAGAGGAGGAATGGAAAAAGGAAAGACATGATTATTAAGTAAATATACAATCTAATAAATTCAGACATTAATAACAGAATTAAGAGAATAATTAGAGAATTAAAAAAATATAAATAAATAATTATCAGAACGTCTTGAAAGATTAGAATCTATTAAGTTTTCCTTTTTACCTAATAGTGAAATGATTAAGTAAAAATTATCGATATGATTTGTTAGGAAATAATCGATTAAGTAACTTCATCATAGGGTTAAGAGTGATAACGGAATTTTCTTAAAGAATGATATACATGATTATAAATTAATTACTTAACCTAATAATGAAAAAATGATTTCAAAAGAAAAGAAACCATTATTATAAAAGTATTTTAGGAATAGTTAAAATATAGTTTCTTAAAAGAATTAAAAAATGAAGAAAATGATGATGAACAAGTTTTAAATTAGATTTACTTTCATTCTCCTATTAATCTATAATTACCTTAAACTACAAAAATTAATTAAATTTTAATCAATTAAAATACATACAATACATGTTAACCAAAAATAAAACACCATCATCAAAGAAGTAATAGTAATGGAGCAACTGAATTATTGAATTTTGCAATTTAAAGAAAAAAATAAATTTTAGAAACAAGTTAAAATTAATTAGAAGGTGTAAGTATGACAGAAAGAGAAATTATTGTAGGAAAAGAAATATTTTAAACTAAAGGATAATTAAGGAGTCATTTAGATGGAGTAAGATCTATATTATTTTAAAATAATTGTATTGTGACTGCTTCAGAAGATTGTACTATAAAATTATGGAATTTAAATTAAATTCAATCCATGAATGCCCAAACTCATTTAGAACCTGCTTAAACTATTAGATGTAATCTCTTAAAAATTATGTTAAGAACATGATAGACCAATATTTACAATGACTGCCTATTCTAAGACTCCATATATACATTTATATTCAGCAGGAGTTGATGGAACTATTAGAACATATATAGGATCTGGAGATTAGTATTTTTCTTGGCATGCACATACTGATGTAATTTGGTCTTTAAAACATCATCCACATGATTAAAGATTATTATCATCCTCAGCAGATGGTTCAGTAAAGATGTGGAAATCCCTTGGAGTTTGTTATTAAAATGATTTACTCAAAAAAGGAAATTTAAATCTTGAAATGTTGTAAAATCCATTAGCTAATTTTACATTTAAGAAATCAATGACTGGATTGTCTATTCCAACAGCAATTGAATGGATATGCAAAGGTTTTAATGAAACAATAATTTGTGGTTATAGTGATACTCTAACATTTATAGTTTATGATGTTACAAGTGTGAAAGCTATTCAATAAATTAGATTTGATTCTGAAAACTAATTTAATCTATTTGCTTAACCTAATAGAGTATTATTTAATAATGAACTCAAATATATTGTATCTGGTCATGATGATAATAAAATAAGATTTTCTGATATCAATACTAGTAAAGTTTGCAAAACTCTTATAGGACATACTGATGCTGTAACTGATTTATGTTTACTACCAAAAAATATCTATTAATTAGCAAGTGTTAGTCATGATGGAAGTCTTAGAACATGGGATATAAGAAAATTTTAATGTTTACATGAAATTCCAGTAAATTCTTTATTAAATTTGATTAGGCACACAAATAAAAATATGATGAAAGTATTTATACTATAGCAAGTAATAATTAATTTGTAGCAACTGGAGGAGCAGATGGTATTGTAAAAATCTTTAATTACTCCGATGTAATTTGATAATATATAGATACTTGAAAATATCATTTCTTTTTAAAATCATTATACCAAATATTACATAAAAAATAAAATTAAAATACTTTAAGGATATTTTCTTATAAATTTGAAATAATTAGATAAAAAAATAAACATCTCATAATTTATTATAAACTTTTACATATAAATCTATAGTTTTTTAATTAATTTATTTTAATGGGAAACTTTGAAAGCACATGCTTAACAAGAGAAAATCAAATTAAGATTTAAGACAATAAAGATAGGCCTTCTTAATTCTAACGATAACATGCTACAGAAAAAATAAGAAATTCTTTTCTCCATCCAATCTCAATATAAGTAATGCAATACTATTCTAAAATGTATGATAAAAAATTTGATCCTTTTTCTACTACTATCACACATCAAATTATTAAATTATCTAAGCATAACCATTGTTTAGATTTGAGTTTATGTAGATATCTATTAGTTAGTCAATAATATAATTTTGAGAAAATCAATTAATTAATTAAAGAAAATACAGAATTCAGATAAAGTATAAGATCAATAGAGTATGAACCATTAAGGTAAGCTATATAAATAATTGGGATTGATTTTAATAAAGGTTTAGTATTATGTGTAAAATTGGATAAAATAAACACAGAGTATGTTTAATAATACTTCTTATATTTTTTGGAGTATTTATTTTATGAAATTGCTATAAATAACAAATTAAATAATCATATAATTATTGTTTATGACTTATAATAAGAATCAGCAAACCCAATTTTTCTAAATTTTATTGCCAACTTAACATACAAACATTATTTTTTAAATGTAAGAAAACTCATTTTAATAAACATAAGTTTGGAAAAAATCTCTTCTGAAGTTATAGGTATGTTAAGCTAAGGTTCGTACTCCTACTTAATTTTACCCTTATCTGATATATCATATCTGTAAAGACATGTGAAGAAATCAGAACTATCGAAAGACTATGGAGGTATGTTTCAAAAGCAAAGAAATCCTATTCCACTTAATTATAACTAAGCTGTTAATTATAAACTATGATTAATTATATCTATTAAAAATACAATAAGTATTTCTATATAAATTTGTTAAATAGTTTTTATCCTTAAAATTTATAAATAAATTTTGATTATTTAACTATTAATTCTATTCAACATTATTTGTTGAAATATATTGTTTAATTAAATTAGATGAATTATTTTTTTTTTATAAGGATAATTATAAGTTTTAATCTTGCACTAATAAAACAATTAGTGCTGATTTCTAAACATTATCATATTATAAATTTCTATCAATTTGTTTATATAATTATTTTATAAATGGATTCAAAAGTTTATGATGAAGAATAACATGAAGAAATAGTATAACTATCTGATTAAAAACCAAAATTGACAATTGCAAAAATTTTACTCTTAGAATTGTTAATGATATCTCCTGTCATTTGGGTTTTGTTTTTTTTATGGGTACTAAAAATGCCATTGGGATGTTAATTAGCATTTTAAATTATAACCTTATTAGCTATTCCTTTGATTAGTTTATAAATTTAGAATTAGCATTATTCAAAACTAATCAAAACTGATTTTTACATAAGTGAAATTATTTACGGTTTATTATTTTTAATTTGTTCATTTTTGGCAACAGTAATATTCGGATATTTTGTATTTCAATATTATGATATTTTGGATTATGAAGCAATTAAAACATTAAAAGGAAGCAAATTTTCTTTAATATTAGCATTAACATTATTATCTATTACAAATCCTTTTTTGGAAGAATTTTTCTGGAGAGTTTATTTGCCAGATTAATATATTAAACACGAAGAAATAAATTATAATGAATAACTTAAATGGTATTTGGCTTTGCATTATGCATTATATCATTTTTTTGTTATTTATTTTTTTACAAAGTATATTTTTTAAAGTCATTGATTTATATATTAGATTATTCATTATTTCCTTAATTGGTTTCATAATGATAGCAATAGGAGGAAGAATCTTTTTTATTACAAGGGACAGATTTGGATTGCTAACAACTTCTTTATTTCATATGGGAGTTGATATGGGAATTGTAGCAATGGCTATTTATAAGATTCCTTTAAATGGTGAATGATATTTTTTGCATTTTTATTGAATCAAGAGAATAATTATTGATATAAATAATCCGTTCAAAAACTGCTTGATTAATAACTCTTTATATCACTTAATGCACTCTATTCTGGATCTTCACAATAATTACTGTTTGAAAGACTTTGTTACTAAGAATCAAATATTTTTGCATATATTTCTTCATCCATTGATTTACTATTTGATTTAGTTAAATTTTAAACTTGTTATGTGAATTATTTCTATGAATTAATAAGAAATCTATACTTTGATTTATTTTTTTGTGAATTTAAAGTCAGTGTGTTATAAAAAATATGAGTGTATCATGTTAAGGTCCCCCAAAAACATATGATATAATTTATTAAATAAATCTGAACTTTCTTAATTCCATTTCACTCTTTTGATATTAGATTTTTATTTATGTATTTTACTATTTTACTGCATAATTTGATTGACTAAGGACTTAATTTATTAGTTTTCATCATTTATATTGTTAGTTTCAGCTAAATTGCTATTTTAATTACTTTTCATCAAAACAATAATGCAAATTACAGAATTCAAATCTTCATTTTCATTAAATTAAGAAAGAATTAAATCATTTATGAAATATAAAATATTAAAAATGATTATAATTTTAGAATTTCATTTGCATTATGATTCAATAAAAAGATCATATTTCTATTTAAGATGATTTTAATATATATTTATATACACAATCAAATTCCAATGAATAAAATGATCATCAGAATTTATTCTATATGTAAATTACTAGAAATTCTACTTTTTGCCAAAATTAATAATTATTCACATACATTACTTATTTCTTATTAAGATTGTGGAACCATATGTTTTTCTAAGACTTTTGATATATCAATAGTATCAATTAAGTCGAATAATTGACTATTACCAATTATTATATATCCTTATTAAGTAAGTATTTATTCTGTAGTATCTGGTTAACAAGTAATTCCAATTTAATGCCAATTATTATATCCTATACATCTAGTTAATTGAATCCCTTAAGATTTATTTTACTTCAACCATATCTTTAAAGGACCTGATTTTACATAATTAATATATTCTTATTCTATTTCTCCACCATTATTTAATATTCTTTATTGTTCAGACATTTTTTCGATAGAATGAACAGTATTTAATTGTTTAAAAACTAAATTATTTTTTTGTAAAAAGAAATACATTACTTTGCTTTCTCCTAAATTTGAACATATCAATTTCATTTCAGAAATTAATATACAAAGAGCTTATGATCCACTTTATGATGAATCTATATCTTAGCATTATTACTAAATATATATATATATATAAATTACTATTTCTTTATTAATTTAAGAAAAGAGGTCTTCAAATAAAAGATTTATTTAATCATTTTTTTTCTAAACTATATTGATTAAATTATTATTAGTTAGTTTCTCTATCATTTTTTGATTAACATATTAGGAACATTCCTTTCCAAACTTACCATGACCTTCACATAAAACGAATAAATTGATATTATCTTTTTTAACTACTTATGTGGAACAATGAACACTATGATGAGTATGTTATTTCTATAAATGAAGTTCTTTCATGACTGAAAACTTTAAAGTAACATTTTCAGTTTATTTCTCAATAATTGGTTTCTTGAATTCAGAATGAAATCTTGTGGATCTAAAGATATGTGTATTATCAAATGGTTTGTTATTTATTTTTGGACTTAATATAGGATTTAGAGGTTTTCTTAAGTTATCAGCAAACCTTGGAGATCCAATTTTAGGAGTTGGAGATAAACTTGTAAATGAGTTTTTTTAACTTGCATAATTAGTTCCTTTAACTTTAAAAACTAATGGTTTTATGTTAAAGCTTTTGCCTTATGTTGTATTTCGATTCATTATAATATTTATTTATAAATATTCAACATGATTAATCACAATTTAATTCAATAGAATCACCATACTTTTAACCATTAATTTTCTATGATATTAACAATTCTTAATGATGGATTCACAACAACATACATTACATTTTAAGGATGATCTGAATTATATGAATTCTCTAATTTCTTTATTTCATATGCATATGAATCAATATAAATTTCATCCTTATCTGCATATTTTCGAGCGCTTTTATTATATTTATATAATAATACTTCACTGTATTTTTGTATAAATATTTAGTCCAATCTAAATAGGCTTATATATCATCTTCATATTAACAAAGTTATCCTCCCAAAACTAGAATTTGAAATAATCTAAATAATAATTCTTATCTATCAGCTTCATTAAATACACAATATTATTCAGAATCTTCCATAATAAGTGCTTTACGTAATTCATCAGCTATCTAAATATTTTCAAATTATTCTTCAAAACATTATTTGATATGTCCCTTTACAACAATTCTATCTTCTGTTAATTTATCAAACAAATCTAATTTAATAGATTTACATGTCAAAGCTTAAAATTTAATCTATGATAACATTATATTCTATTTAAATGAAACATAATGTAATGAACTTCTTATTTCTTTAGAATTGAATAAATCTAATAAAAATTGACTTGAATTTAAATGATCAAATTTGATATCAAATAAAAATGTACTTACTTTCAAACTATGTTATAAACCCCATTTTAATAAAATTTCCATAAACTTTTTATCATCCATAATAGTATTCTCTTATCTAAAAAAAGAATAACTCTAATTTGTAACTTAATTGTCTGATTCAATTTACATAATTAATATTAATATAATGTATTCATATATGGATTGGGATGGATTGAAATCTAAGAAATGGAGAGATAAAGGAAGAAAGAAATTTGAATAATAAGCAATTGAAATTATTACACCTAGAGAAAGTGATGTTTTTCTAAGTTAAGTTCAAACTAAACTTTAGAATCCTTTAATATAAAACTAATTAGAGAATTTAAAAACTCCAATAATTAAATAATCACTTAATAATTAAGAGTCATCTAGATTAGAAAAGTTTTATTCAGAACCTAATTTCAGAAAATAATTTGAACCATTAAATAGATAAATTTACTTTGAAAAAAAACATTTACGTTAAGATAAAGATGGTCATTTAGAAGATCTAGATTATGGCATAAAAACATTTGAGGTTATTTATTTCAATTGTATTTTAGTAAGCAAATAAAGAAACTTAATAAGGTTATATATTAGAAGATGAAATGTAAAGAAAAGTAAGAGTAAATGATCATAGAAATGGTATTGGAACACATTTTTTAGGAGATAAGGCTTATCATATTCCTGAATATAGTACTAATTTTTATAAACATCCTGACGGTGCGATTCCTGGTTCTAATATATAATATCGTCATTAATATAAATAATTATCTAAATGAAAAGCAAATCTCAAATATTTTAACATGCTGTTCATATTATCTCAGCTTCTAATATATTATCAAAGATTGGGAATCAACCTTAAGATATCTCAAAAATAAAATAAGTTTTATAAAAAGATTATTTATCTAGAACCGAATAAGACTTTTTATAGATAATAGAGTATATGTCTTGTTTTCAATATTTTGAAAAAATAAAAGCTAAATATAATGCAGATTTCATGAAACAATTATGCAAACATCTTTATTTAAAAACATTTGGACCTAATTAGAATATAATAATTAACAGAACAACTTATATAATTTTAAGTGGTAGAGTATTAGTAACATAAGAACTTGATTCAACAAAACCAAAGACATTTACAGATATATCAGATATTTAATAATATTCATAAGTATCTGAAATGACATTTGGATAATCATTTAATGAATTTGGTTTATAAGATGTTTAAAAATCTACTGCAGTAACATTAAGATAAACAGATTTAGTTTGTTTAGATTTTAAATATATTATAGAATTAAATTCTAATATAAAATCAAGTGAAAATAATGAAAAAATAGCATTTCTAAAACAATTAACATATATTTAATAATTCTCTGATAATGAAATTAAATATTTTGCTTATAAATTAGAAGTTATTAAACCTTAGAAAAATGAAACTATTTATTAAGAAGGTGATGAATAATGTGATTGGGCATATTTTGTTTTTAAAGGAGAATTTTCACTTACAAAAAGGGATGATAACCAAACTGAACATTAATTAACTAGATTAGCAGAAGGAGAAATATTTGGAGAAGAAAGCTTTTTAAATTATGAATAAAGATATTTTACTATTAAATGTCTTTGTGATTCAGCAATGTTATTTCGAATATCAAATGTTGAATTAGAGAAAAAAGTTTGGCAAAGAGATTCAAGAAATATATTATTTCTTCTTATTGGAGAAAAATGGATATTTAGATTAAAGAGATTTGTTGAATTATCTAAATAATCTATTGATACATAATAATTAAAATCTCATTTAACTTATTTAGAAGAAATTAGTACTTGTAAATTAAATTTTTAATTTCAAGAAAATGAATTTAATCCTACAACTATGAATAATTAATTTAAATCAAACAAAGGAGTTAGATAATAAAAAACTAAAATATTACCTACATCATTAATTATTTAAAATTCTTAATAATATAATTAATTCTTTTAACATTAAACATGTAAAGCATAACATTCTAATAAAAATATATCATTTGATAAAACACATACAAATACATAAACAAAATTAGCAGATAATTACCCTAAAAATCATGAATAATAACCTAAAAGAAGAGTTTTATAGAAAATAATAAATCCTAATGTTAAAAGTACTAAAATATCTTCTCATTTTAATTTTAATTTAAGTATAAAAGAATAACCAGACATTCAATAAGATAATTTTGTAAAAACATAAAATGTTCTAAATGATGAAGTTATTAATTGGGGAGGTAATTCAAGTAGAAGAAATTAAGAACTTAAAGAATAATTCTATAGTGCTATTAAAAGTTATGCTTCTCATGTTAAATATTAAAATCTGAACTTTATGGAAGCATCATCTAATTACTCTAAATAATTAAATAATGAATATGAATTATTGATGAAAAAATAATAAGAAAATATTGGAAACTTTTTTGAACTAGAACCTAGAAGTAAAACAGATAATCAATTAAGAAAAGAATACTTTTTAAAGTAATTAAAGAAAATGCAAAAAAGATTATAGGTACTTTAGATGATTGCTAAAGGTTACATAACTTGTAAATATAATTAGTATGTTAATGAAGAAGGAGAAATAGTAGATATTATTGAAAAAGTTTCTAAAGATGATGCATATGAAATTAAAGATGGAAAAAAATAACTTAAATTTAATTTTGTTACATCAATCAATTATAAACCAATTGAAAAACCAGTATTTATAAAATAACATTTTAGAAATTTAAAGATTTCGATTAATAAATTGTTGAATAAGAAGAATAAATTAGAGTTATTTCTGATATAGTATCTGGTAAACTTGACCCAGAACAAGTGCCATACGTTAATAAAGAATATGCTAAATAAATGTCAATGAGAAAAAAAGCTAGTGAAGTTATTTAGACTCCAACTTTAGTAAAGTCATTTAGTTCAAAGCTTAGAATCTCATCTGCAACATATAAAAAGGATTTATCTAAAAATATTTTCTCGAATGCCATAAAAATAAGAAAAATGACATGAAATTAATTTATCATTACATTATATTATGTATGATCATTATGAGTATAAATATCTTAGTTATTCTATTTATTTTATTTATAATTTTAGAAATCCCAAATTGATTTTCTAGATTTTATTAATTAATTTAATTAATAGATTAATTTTAATGAAACTAATTAATTTTCAAAATATCATTATTTATTTTTTATCTATATTAGAGTATTTATTATCAAATTTGAATTTAGAAAATGCTTACATTATTATTTTAAGACATTTATATGATTGAAGATATAAATAATTATTCAATTTATTTAAGAAATATTAAAGATAATTAATTGTTATTTATAATGATTATATATGTAAATATATAATAATCTATTATATATCTAATAGGCCATATAAATGTAACTATTCATTCAATTTTAGTTTATTGTTACAATGATTACTATTATTAATCTTCTGATTCAGCTTTTCCATTTAAAAAATCATTAGATGCTCTATATATCTCATAAGTCTATTGAATATCTATTCCAAGTGAATTACATTGATTATGTTCAGTCATAAATTAATATAATTCTAAAGAATCATCTTCATCAATTTCTGATCCAAAACATTTTTCAAATTATTCTTTAAAATGATGTTACATATCCTTTTTTTCAATAGATAATAAAAATCTAGCTACCTAACTTGGTTTTAATTCTCTTCTTAATTATTCTAAAGTTTAATCAAACGAACTTAATTCAGCTTAAATTTAATTTTTTACTTCTTAAATTGATGATAATGTACTAATAATAGAATTTTAATAAAAAATACTTAGCTAATTCATTTTGATGTCTTAGTAATTTCTATTATTTTTTTTATAGTATTTATTTTTATTTATCTGTAAGTTTAAGATTTCTTAAAATTGTATTATCAGTATGCCTAAATATTAATATTTAATATACTCTTAATTTGAGAAAATATCTTATTCAGTTTTAGCTACTCCAATAATATAATTTATATATGGAGCCAAACAATTTTCATAAATTTGTCTTGCATAATGATCAATCAATTAATGTCTTTCTTATGATCCAGAACCAAATTTTTTCTATATTTGTATAATATTGAATATACATTTAAAGAATCTATAATTGCATCAATATTCATTTCTCCAACGTTTCCATTTATTGAATTTTATAGATTTGAAAATAATATCATTTTTGTTTAATCTTATTCTCTTTTCTTAATAATTAAGATATTAAATACTTATGTTATTTTGTTTTATAGATTAATTGCTAATTGTTGAGTTCTTTCATTAACATTCTTATAAACATCTAATTGTTCTGATAATTTTGTAACTTTGCTTTCCAACAATTCTAAATAAATCTTCTTTCTTCTTCTGCTATTTCTAGCAGACTCTCTGTTTTTTGCTAATTTATCTTCTTTATCTCCTAGATTATTTCCAGGAAATTATTAGCTTTAGACTTTATGAACAGTCTATTTTTTTTCTTAACTATTTATGCTATTGATATATAAAGATTACTTTTCATCTAAGATTTCTTAATTGGTCATTTTTATAAGTGATGATATCTTTTTTATATAAGTATTCTTTGTATTTTATTTGGGCTTTCTTTATTAAATCAAAAGCTTACTTCTTTCCAGAGTCAGCTTCTTATTCAAAATGCATATTACTAGAGTTTGAATTTTAGGCAAAGTCAATATCATCAAAGTGACTCATAGAGTAGATATTTTATATTATTTTATTCACTTTGCTTTTAATTAAATATATAACTAAGTACCATCATAAATGTCAAAATAATCAATATTATTAAGATTAATTGATATTTAGAATTGCATATTATTATATATTATTGTTTAGATTTATACGGTTAATTATTTATAAGGGTTATAAGGGTTTTCAATTTATACAAAAAAATTAAATAAATATATTAATAATGTAAACTCAATAATTTGGAAGTGATGCAAAAGCATATAAAGAGTAGGCATAATAAAGAAAATAATAAAAAATTGAAAAGTTATGGAATGAAATTGAAAAAAATCCAGAATTGAGTCCTGTATTTATTAGTATTTGATTCTAGCAATTTCTATTATTGAAAAAAAAAATAAAAAATTCTCATAAAAAAAGAGAAGAAACTTCTGGAATGATTTTAAGTATGAAAGAAGAATATAATCAATTAAAAGCAGATATTAAAGAGTTTCTAAAAAAATAAAACAAAATAAAGTCAGTGAACAATCCTGCTAATAATAAATGATAAAGTATTTTCAGTTTTATTTAATTAATATAATTTTAATTTATGCTCAAACAACTCTCAAACAAAAAGTAAATTAAGAAGTTAAAAAAAACTATACAAAAATCTCTTAATAATGAAGTCCCAATACCAGAGTTAGAAATATAAGAAAAATTGAATAAAGAAATTGTAACATTCATACTTGATGGAGCAGTCTTATAATTGGGATAATTGAAATCTTCAAAAGTATTATTAAACTTTGAAGATCATTCTCATTTTATAACAAAACGATTAGGAAGAAATCCAGAAGATTTCAGGTATAAATTAATTAAGCAAAAGGCCAGACATAGTACATTAAAGTTTGTTAACACTTCTTGATAGTCCTCTTAATAAAGCAGGCTTATTGAAAGTATTGATAAGGACAGAAGATAATAGATTAATTGAAATTAATCCAGTCACTAAAATACCTAGAACTTTTAAAAGGTTTAGTGGAATGATAGCTAAATTATTAGAGACAGCAAAAATTCAATCAGATGATTAAGTATTACTTCAAATTCACAATGATACAGTCTAAGAGTATTTTTCCAATGAAGCTTATATTGTAGCTACATCACACAAAGCTAAATTGGTTGATTTAAAAGAATATATTAAAAAAAAGCATAATGTATAAATATATATAAACTTATAATTTTAGTTGGTTTTTGTGATTGGAGCTGTAGCTAAAGGTAATCCAGGTCTGGAATGTAAGTTTAGTAATGATTGTATTTCAATTTCGAGATACTAATTAAGTACATCTAATTGTCTATCCAAAATTATTGACACATTTGAGGAATATTATTCAATAATTTGAGAAAAGATAACAATATTATATAAAATCATTCATTTTTATTTTTAATTATTTTCTTTATCCAAATAATATATGGGTTTCTATATATAATATTATTAAATATAAAGAACATCAATAAATTATATAATATTAATATACAATTCATAATTATTTTAATAAAAGAGAATTAATATTTCAGTTTTTAAAGAAAATGGAAGATATAAACATTTGAATAATTGAAATAAATATTAAAATATTTGATATTAATCCATAGTGAGAAATTCGTATATAAATTAATTTTGATTTCAAATCACTCATGCTTTAATACTATTCTTAGTTCTATATCTTATTAGTTTTTTGATCTACATTTATTATTTAACAGGTGATGATTCCTTTGTTATTGATCTAATAATTATAAAATTCATTGTAATACTTTTATTTTAAAAGTTCATTTAATTAAGAATTATCATTTTTGGATTCATTTTTACCTCTTACTGATTCTTTAGAATTTGGTTATAAAATAATCTTCTAACTAGATTTTATTTTTTTTAATGAATATGATCTATCCAATTTCATTAATTAATTTAATTGATTCAAAAAATTGGTTTAAATTTCACAAAGACATTATTATAATCCTTTCCATGATGCTGATGATTCTAAATTAGAAATTAATAATGTTAGCTATCTTTAATATACATTAGCATTAATTATGTATATTAAATACATAATATTCATGTATAAACTTTCAACATAATCTATATTTTTGCATCCATTTTTATTATATGTAGTATATCCATTAAATAAAGATGTTAATAAACCAACATGGAATAATAAATTTTATAATTAATATTAAGGTGCACGAGAAAAAAGGATAGCAATTAGTCTATTATTATAAAAATAATTTACTTAACAAAATTTAATTAGAAAATGTTATTTTAATGACTATTAAAAAACCAAATTATTAATATATGCATCACAGTTTCATTTAAATACTTATAAATATTTCTTTCATCCCTATTAGGATCATAAAGATCAAAATAATGCAAACCATTTACTAAAGTGCTAAATAATAAATATTATTTGAATTTAAATTCAGGTATTTATGTATAATTATTTAATTCTATTAATTTCTTACTTACAAAATCAGCAACTTAACTAAAACAATTTTTCAGTAAATTATTTAATTATTTTTCTTATAATATTAATGAATTCTTATAAATCTCATTTATTATAAGACCACATTCAATTGATTATTTCTAAAGAATTTTACTTTCCTCATCAAAAATTCCATATAAATATATTTGAAATAATGTAATAATTGTTCTTTCATTTATGAAAGATCTCTATGCTAAATTTAAAAATTGTTATTTCTAAAAATGATCCTTTACTAAATTTTCTTAATAATAAAGTGAATTAAATATAGAGTCATTTAAAATTTTGAATACTCTAGTACAACCTTTTAATGTATGTTTATTATAAGTAAAAATTGATTAAGCAGTTTCAAAATGAGTGAACTATAAATCAATATTTCTTCTTGGATAAATAGATATTAACTTAGTTGTAGAAAATCCATCTTATGATATAATATAGGTTTTATTTCTTAATCTTGATGCATAATTTTGACAATTTTAAGAATCAACACTTTCACTCTTATGAACTTTATTATCTATTGAAGGTAGACTTACTGAACTATGATGCATTTTACCTTTTGGAGACAGGAGAGTTTTATTAGTAATGTCAGATGATTAACCATAAAATCCTTTATTGTAAGATGATTACATTATTCTAATTCTTAAAGGTGAAGACTCTTATAATTCTGTCATAATAGATTTATTCTTTTCAATGCTAAAGTGTTTTAGATTATCTATATCTTTCTAACTCATATCTTCCATTATTTAATTTGCTGTTGAGTTATTATCCAAAATCCATTAAGAAGAATTTAATATTTACTATTCTTCTGAAAATTCAATTGGTGTTAGTGGTTCTTATCGACTAGTCACAGAATTTTAAAAATCATTTTATGTTTATTATGTTTTTTCAGGAGATTTTAATAATTTTACAAATGCCAATATTCCATCCTTAAATTTAATTATAAAATATATACAATTTTTAGTGATTTGTATTCTTAATAACATTATTCATTTCTTTATGGTTATTTAATTAAAATTTAAAAGAAAAAGTTAAACCAATTTGTATAATCTAAATATTTCCATATTTATTCTTATAAATAGAAACCAAATTTAAATTTATCTATCCATAAACTTAACATATCTCCTATGAAAGTAGTCATTTAATGGTTATAGATATATAATGAAAAGGTAAATAATAGATTGTATTCTAATATCTAATAGGCACTCTTTTATGGATTTAAAAGTATTAATTATTCAATGAAATTAACTAAATGATTAAGATTTAAGTTAATTTCATCACTTATTAAGGAATCATATATTTTTCTAACTATTATAAGCTAAATTCTATACATGAAATTTCAATAAAGGTTGTTAATAATTTATCAATTTGACGAATATTGTTTTAATTTTAAAATATTAAGACAGTTTTATATGATCTAATAATTTAAAATGTATCTAATTTAATAGGTATATTTTTAAAGTGTTTCTTATTAAATTTAGTTTCTACATTTTTGAATGTCAATTCCTATAATGATTAAATATAATATTTACCCAATCTGCAATAATTTCAATTTTACATGGATTCAATATAAAAGAAAGAAGGGAGTTTAGATTTTCGGAATTAGTAAAATATACATAATTATCCAAATCAATTGTAGGAGTTTCTTTAATACAAAGCCATTATTAAATCTTAGTTTTATAATCTATTATTTTTGGTTATTCTGGACTAACAGATAATGAATCACTTTCAGTTTCACTTTTCATATTACATTTCTTAATGAAATGTTAATGTAGTAATTTTTTGTTTTTATTTTTAATATGCATCAATTTACTTTAGATTAATCTTTAAGGAACTTTAATTTTATTTTATATGAAATCTAAGATTATATAATATAAATTACAATCTTCTAATTCTTAATTATGTTCTTCAATCCATTCGAGATCTTTAAATATTGATAATTTTAATTCTTCATAGATATCTATAATTTGAAGTTAGAATTCTTCATTTTTAGTATGCATTAAGAAAAGTTTAAATATGGATGCCATTTATTCCAGATCAAATTTGTACTCTTTTGAAAGAGTAAATATTGGTATAATAAATTTTGCTGAAAATCGTTTTGCAATTATTAATCTTTCTATGACTTCTCTGCTAAAAGGGATTGATCCTTATTTCAGTTACTCTTTAAGTATTGAGGTAATATTATTACTAAAATTAAACTAAATTTATATACTTATGAGATAGCTGACGGTTTTATTTATTGAATAAAGATCTAGAACCTAAAAATTATCTAAATTCTTAAAGTATAGCCACTTCTTATAAGGCTTTATGGAATGCCATAATGAATTTAGGGTCACTTTTGTGTTACTCAAAACATTCATTTAAGAGCATCTCAATTGTGGTGTCTGAAAAAGGATAAGAACAAATCACTTATATAGTAATTTCCATTTACATTGTTTGATTAAAGAAGGACTGTTGAAATTTTTTTGGGTTTTCAAACTTTATGAAATTTGTTTAATTCCTTCAGCAATCTTTTGTAATCTGACATAATCATCTTCTACTCCAAGCTAGTTATAGAAATAACTTATATTACAGCTTCTTCGAGAATCATAGTAAAGTATAAATAATAATTTATATTAGAGCTTTTTATAAAATTAAATATATAATCCAAAATAGGTATCATTCATTTATCACACAATAATTTTACAAAGGTTGTAATAGCTTAAGAGGTTTACTTTAAATTTTTTTTAATTGACTATAGTGGACCTAATCTCTATTCAAAAATGTCAATTTATTCATGTAAATTATACCTTGACATAGCAATAGATGTGAAAGATAACTTCAAATCTTCTTCTTAATTGATTTTTAAAATTTTATTCAACCTGTTAATTTAATTTTTTTCTATTATAATCATAATTTTTATTAAAATATACTTAATCAGCCATTTCTTTAATATCTAGAATTTCATTTTAAATTTTTAAATTCTCTAAGACTTCATTAGCATATATAATATCATCTAATAAAGAGATATTCAATTTATCAATTAATTTTTATTCTCCATTAATATTAACAAATTCTTTAACACTACATAATTTTTCAATATCAGATAATTCTACAAGTTCATCTTTACCATTCTTTAATAGAATTTTTCTAAGGTTTTTTCTTTTTTCAACAATATTTCTAACTACTAAAAATAGTTTTCTTGAATTATTCAAATATTTCTTTTAGTAATAAATATAAATTTACTTATAATGAATCTAATTAATCTTTGAGTTTTCTAATCTATTCTGCAAATTCAGCAAATTTTTTATTTTAAGTATTTTCATATAGACCTGCTTTATAATTAGTGGTTTTTGGTTTTTTTTCATCTCTTTTAAATTTAAGTTTTGCTCTTTCATCATCAGTATAAATGTTTGCATCATTCTCTGTATTTGTATTAGTTTTAAAAAACTTAATTGATTATTATTTTGATGATCCTTAATACTCTGTTGTTGCTCTTAATGTTTTTTATAATTAGATGGGTGATTTGCTTTAAGATAATCTGGGTAATTTTTCATTGGCAATAGGTATTAATCTACTTGTATTAATTTACTAAGAGAAATGATATCAAATACTAATTTCTTTTATTTTTAATTAAATCTCTCTCTACTTAATGTCAGATTCCCTTCTATATTTTATTATTCATTGATTTTTTCAAGTTGTTTAATTGCAGGCACTTATAATTAATATTCATGAAACGTATTCATATTTTATTATAAAAAATAGGATTTAAATTTATGAAATGAAAATACATACACTCATAATTCTTCTACTCTATCAAGATCAACCCATTAATGTGAAGTGTTTTCTTTTAAAAATGAAATAAAATTGACTTCATCTCTTCCACTATTATAATCAATAATTTAATCCTTCTATCCATTCTTCCAGAATTTAATTGTTGGGAATGATTCAATATTAACTCCTTCAATCTAAAAATAATAATATAAAAATACTTCATTAGCAGTAGCATCACATTTAGCAATTATGATATTTGGATTTACTAATAATTTCTTAGCTAAACCTTCATAAATAGGAGTCAATTATTTGCAATGTCCACACCAAGGAGCATAGAATTCAATCAAAACATCTTTATCATTATTAATCACTAAATCTCTGAAATTCTTGCCAACAACAATTTTAACAGGATCATCATTAGTAGCAGGTACTTCTTCAGATTTCATATATCTATTTAATTTTCCATCAAAGAAATTTGTTAAAAATGTTCTTAATGATTCAGTTGTAATTTCATCTTCAAATCTATATTTACCATTTCCTCCTAATTAATCATATAACATAATATTAGGAATATTAGTAGTACTAGCACCAATATATTCAGCTAATCTATGGAATAAACCAGATCCATCATTAGGTTTGGAGAATGAAAATTTGATTCTAAATAATTTATATATAATTATTACCTATCTTTAAATAAACCAGCAACACTAGCAAAGGCATCAAATGCAGCAACACCTGCTTCAGAATCATCTGTGAATAAAATAACAGCATTATTTCTTTATTAGAAAATGATATTAATTGCTTTATCATTGAATGGTAATATGATTGGATTTCCATAAATATTTATGAAATTTTCCAAATTTGATGTTGTCACTGATTAATCAAAATTATTTCTCTTCTCATCAAAGGATTTGAAAAGTACTATCTTACCACTTACATTATATTTCTCAGCTGATTCTGGATTGAATGTATGGGCAAATGTAACTTTATCATTTTGTTAAGCAACTTATTTGAATGTTTCAAAATCATTGTCATCTGATGATGTTCCAAAAAAGACAACAATAGGAGTGCTTGATACTCTTTCTAAGAATCTTTCTAAATCTTAAACTGAATTTAATTCTGTAGATGGAGGACCTGATTTCTTATTAATCCAAGCAACTATTTCACCTGATGTTCTTCCTCCTTCATAATCAGTTGCTTAACCATTTATGAAGAATTTTATTGTTGGATATCCTTAGATTGAGAATTTTTCAGCCACTGATGATTCAACTGTAGCATCAACTTTTGCCAAAGGCACATAATTGTCTCCTCCTTATCTCTTTAATTCAGCTGCTGCAGCAGAATATTCAGGAGCCAATTACTTGCTTATATGATAATTTATTGATCAATACCAATGTCCACACCATGGTGCATAAAATTCAACCATAATGAATTTGAATGTATCGATAGCATCTTAAAATGTATCTGAGGTTAACACCATTACATTATCTTCTTCTTAAAATGCACACAAAGATGTAGCCAATAACAAGCTAATGAATAACAATGATTTCATAAATATGGAAATCTTTTTATTTAAAAATTCTTTAATGATATCAATTCAAATATAATAATTTACACAAAATTATTGAAATATTTTTTTAATTCATAATCCAAAAAATTAATATAATAATTTATCTAACTATTCATGTAATATTTTATCAAAATACTACTATAATATATATGAGTCTAATCAATATATATATATATATAAATTATTTTATTTTTAAGTAGATTTAATTTATATAGAAAAGAATCTCTCTTTACAATCATTTTGAATAAATTAAAGTTAAACTTTTAAATTGATCATAAAATATCTGAATTATTTCATCTACTTTATATTAAATAAAATAAGAATTCATATTATTAAATTAAATTAATTGTTTTATTAAATGAAAGCTATAAAATGATATCTAAATATATACATATGTCTGTTATAATATATTATTGATAAATTAACATTTAATGTGGATGTAATATAAAATTCAATATTAATTCCAAATATCTTAATAATTAATTCTCTTTAAAAGATTTATCATTAATAATAATTAAAAAGTTCTATTAGATATTAATATGATTTAATATTCAAACCAAAAATTATATCTTTAGAATAATTAAATTATAATAATGCATATAAATTTGAATTAAAAACTATACATTAAAAGTGTATTCAGAATACTAAAGGTTTTTTTGTTTTTACAGATTACTTGTTATCAAAGGAATTAATAGAATTTCGTGATTATCTTGGTTGATTTCTCAATATCATTTCAGTAGATCTTCTTTATTGTAAATTGATTGCTATTTCTTTTACACTTGGCTAGCGAGTTGAAACAGATTTTTAACTAAAAGTACCATCTTTAGATTGTTTTTTATTTAACCCATTTATTTCTGTAAATGATTAATTATTTTATTTTTTATTATATTTAGCTTTATTCTATTTATCAGCTATTATTTTGAATGTTTTATTTGATTTCTTATTACCTAAAATATTTTTATTATATGGTTTTAATTTATTGGTAGTATTTGGATCAATTTAATTATTCTATTTAGAACTTTTGCAATCAGATTTCTTAGATAATAATTAAGAAGAATCAAATTGTATATCATTTTTTTCTTATTAAGGTGTTGTAAGGTATTGCATAATATTTTATTAGCAAGATCTCAATGAACTTCTTTCTACTTATAATTATGCTATTTATTCAATTCTTTATTAATATCTATTAATTGCCAATTAAACATCAAATTATATAGACTTTAATAATGTTTTTTCATCATCTTCAAATGAATGGATTGATTAGAGTTTTTCTAAGAATGAGCTTTTTCCTAATGAAATTCTTGATCCATTATCATTTTATATTGATTTTCCAATACTACAAGTCACAAATCCTTTAGCCTTGACTTTGATTAATTATTTTGAAAACTTTAATCTAATTTGTTCTAATTTATTTAAAGGAGGTTCAGAAATACTTTCTCTCTTTTTCATAAAATACAGTGAATGTTTAAAAAAATAACGATTATAATTAATTAAATAAATTTATCGATAAAATTCATTTCATTAAATCAAAATCATACCCTAATTTATTAATCTCTCCTCTCACTCTCATTAATAATTTCTCTTTTTATTCTTTACCTTTTAAGAATTAATATGATTTTAGCTAATTTTATATAATTATAATTTATATACATTAGGTGGTTTAGTTTTATCTAAATTAGCATTGATGAAACATAATTAAATTTAATCTCCTTTAAGTATTATTTTAAATAACCTTTATAAAGAATTCACACTCTTTACAAACATCTTATCATTCTTTAATTGTAAAATATACATATATCCATCAGTTATATAAATATATCTATAATCTGTAGAAAATAAAGATGTAAAAATTGATCTTCCATGTTTTGTTTTTTCTTTATTCATTGTGTATAAAATAGGCTCTTTAATTTCTATTACAGTTTTCTTTTCAAATTTATTTTGTTCAGGCATTTTCCTTTTATCTTTCCATTCAGGTTTGAATTTAATATTAATGTCCTAATAATCAAAATTTATGAATTTCGGATAAACTTAAGCAACAACTTTTTTTTATTATTCATTAGTTGATTATTACATATCTTATTACTTTTGAACTTATTTTTATGATTAGACTTCTTATTTCATATTAGTATTATTTGATTGATTTTAGTGAACTTCTTTTAATTCTTCTTCGTCTTCAATTACTAATTTTGAACTTTTCTCCTATTTCTCCTATAATTCTTCATCAGAATCATGATGATTGTCAGCCTTAACCATGTTATAATCTTAATTTCCTGTGGAAATAGGGTTTTGCATAATAATTTATATAATTTTTTAAGAAATTAATAAAATTTCCAAAATTTAAAATAATCATAATTAAAAAGTTAACTAAACGTGATTTTGCTAGCTTCATAAATGAATTAAGTTATTGATTATATAGAATGATATCATTTTTGATTTTTGTTATCTTAATTTTTATAATCTTATATTTTAAGGTATTAAATAGATTTGTCAAAATGAATAATTAATTTATACAATTAGAAATATATTTATAATATTTATGATACTCTATTTGAAATAATATATTTAACAATATTAATAAATTAATTATCCTTCAATTAATCATATTATATAAGTAATAGAAATAATTTCTGGATTTATATGTTCTAAATAATCTTAATTAATTCTTATTTGTATTTTAATTATAAATAAATTTATTATGCATATATGGTTTTACTAATGTAAATTATTTGATTGTTTCTTTGATTAATAAATTCTTTAAAAGAGATATTATTTAAATTCTTAAATTTGAATAATAATTATAAAGAATGCTTTATGAAAATCGGGTATAAGATTTGAATTTCTAGTTATAATATGATACTGATTTAACATATGTTGAATTTATAAATAATTAACTTTCTTATTAAAATTAATTGGAAATGGGAAGTCAATGCTGTAAAAATAATAACATTCGTTGTTAAGGTATATTAAGTTAAGATTGTACATAGAAGAAGTAATTTTATAAAATGAATAAACTGCGAATGCTTCTCCAAATCCTTTATAAAAAGTCTCACTTTCTTAATAAGGAAGTAAAAAAAGCTAAATTGAAGAGGATTAAATATTGGTTGAGTCTTAATAGCCAGGTTATGTTTTAGAAAGTGAAAATAACTAAGAGGTTGATTAATAAGAGGAGATGCCAAAAAAAGAGATTGAAGTAATAAAAAAGGAAGAATCTGTACCAATAATGAAAACTGATAGTAGTTATATTTTTCATATTTTTAAAGGCAAGGAAGAAATAAAAAAAAAAATTGAACCTTAAGTACCAGGAGTAAGGATAAAACTAGGTCATGATATTTTTGTTAAACTTAAGGAAGGATCAATAGGGAGTCATTATAATTTTGGTAAAGTGTTAGGACAAGGTGCATTTGGAAAGGTTTGGAAAGTAACTCATAAAACTACTGGATTAGTAAGAGCTATTAAGTAATTAAAAAAAAGTTCATTAATAAAAGAGGATGAATAACGAATGTTTTCAGAAATGAACATTTTAAAGAATCTAGACCATCCTCATATAGTAAAATTATTTGAACTTTATCAAGATGAAAATAATTATTATTTGGTTACTGAGTAAAAAATTTATATATTCGTTAGGTATCTATCAGGAGGTGAACTATTTGATAGAATCAAAAAAATGTCATCCTTTAGTGAAAACATAGCTGCTGATTACATAAGATAAATCTTATTAGCTACAATGCATTGTCATTAATAAAATATAGTACATCGTGATTTGAAACCTGAAAATGTAATATTTATAAGTGAAGATCCAAATTCCTAATTAAAAGTTATAGATTTTGGAACTTCTAGAAAATTTGACAATACAAAAGCTATGAGTAAAAGATTAGGAACAGTATTTCTTATATTATATTAAAGCCATATTATATTGCTCCTGAAGTATTGAATCATTAATATAATGAAAAATGTGATATTTGGTCATGTGGAATCATTTTATATATACTTTTATGTGGTTATCCACCATTTTCTGGTAAGAGTGAAAATTAAATTTTGGAAAGAGTTAAATTAGGAAAATTTACTTTTGATCGTAATTAATTAAATATATTTATAGCTGAGGATTGGGATTAAATTTCTAAAGAAGCAAAAGAATTCATTACTAAATTGTTAAGAATGGATCCAAATAAAAGATTATCAGCAAAATAGGCTCTTGATGATCCTTGGTTAGTTAAATATGCTCCCACATCTTAAGTTAATAAAAGAGTTCTTGATAACATCAGATAATTTAGGGTATTTATGATATATATTAAAAATATAAAGGCTTAAACTATCTTAAAATAAGCTCTAATGTCATATATGATTACTTAAATGTCAACTTAAAAGGAAATATCAGAATTATAAAATGAATTTAAAAGACTTGATATAAATAATGATGGATTTCTATCTAAAGAAGAATTAATAAAAGGATATTAATAATTGAAATTAGATTATAAATATGCATAAGAAGAAGTGGATAGAATGATTGATATGATAGATATTAATAGATCTGGAATGATAGATTTTTCAGAATTTTGTATGGCTGCAATAAATTAAGAAAAATTATTATCTGTTTAAAGAGTAGAGTAGGCATTTAAAATTTTTGATTTGGTAATTGATTTGTTAATTTTAAATATAGAATGGTGATGGATTCATCTCTAAATAAGAATTAGAATCTATAATGGGAGATCTTGGTGATGATGTTTGGAGCTAAATACTTTCAGATTGTGATGGTAATAATGACGGAAAAATCTCATATGAAGAATTCGTAAGAATGTTAAAGAATAAAAAACTTTGATTCTTATTAATATATAATCGCTAGTTCTTCCTAACTTAATTTTAATATCTTTAAAATTATTAAATCAGTAAATATATTTCTTATGATATTATAATAATATTAATAATTTATTAATTCACTTTATTAAATATTATAAAATCAATAACTCAATTATAAGTAATTAAAATTTAATGAAATATTAATATTTGTTGGTATTTATAATGAGATTTATTTATGATTAAATTTATTATTAGAATTAGATGATAATAATAATCTAGTTAATATTATATAAATATATATATAAAATAATATGTTGTCATTTTAATTTAATTTAAATTAATATACATTTTTTAAAGATATTGAAGATTCTTTGCTGGAAAGTTTTATAATTCTAATAATAAAATTCTTAAGTTGAATTTTTAAATTCTCATGAATTAAAGATAAAGTAGATTAAGCAAAATACATGCCTATACTTCTAAGCTCTCAATATAGTATTTTCATTAACTTATACCTGAAATAACACATAAAACAAGAAGATAAAAAAAATTAGATTAAATAGAAGAATATGTGTAGATTTATGAAATCTATTTGAAAATGCTTCTTGGATAAGATATTGGACGTGTAGATGAAAAACGATTTTATACTCTCAACAATATTACATAATTAGATGATAATACAATAATGGAATTCGATTTACCAGAGGCAGTCATAAGGTATAATTTAATTTAATTTATGAATTTTAAAGTCTTCCAAACCCAGATATGATTCCAGATGAATATGATTACAATATAAAGTAATTGGAAATTTTTGAATAAATTGTAAAGTCTCTTTAGATTGATGATAAGTCAATGCACGATAAATTATTTATAAAAGCTATAGAAAATGCCTTTACTCACTTAGCTGATCGTAAAATATATTCGTTATTTGAATTAAAGACAAGAGGTTTAGAATCAAATCAACAATAATAAAGAAATACTTTGGTATTATTTGGAACTTCTTAATAATTATTTTAAAAATCTCCAGATAGAAGTCCAAATTCCATAATTCTTGTAGATAACAATCTCAATCAGATGAATAGAACATCAGATTTCCCTATTTATAAAAAGGAAGATCAATTGACTAAATTGGTTAAAAAGTTTAGAAATTATTTAAAAGATAACATCTCACATTATTAAGGCAGTTTAAATAATATCGCTGATTGTTTATAAATTGACATGTAGAAATTGGTATATGTTTAAAAGAAAGCATATAGCTAAGGAGAATATTTAAAACTATAAGGATAATCTTGGTATAGAACAAGGAATGAAACATCAGATATTTTGACTCTTATTAGAAATGCTTTGATAATTTAATTATCTAGAAAAGGATTCAATGTGAAATCATTTATATCTAAAAATGGATAAACTATTTATCTTTGTTTGTATATGACAGAAAAGATGCTTGAAATTGCTGCTGAAAATTTTGCTTTACCAAAGAAATTAAGCTTTTGTTTTACTGATCTTTTATCTTTAGAACCTGTGGATAAATAATATCGTCCTCTAAGATTGAATGGTAGATTATGGAGACCTGATGAATATAGTAATTCTTCTTATTTGGAATATTTAAGGCCCCTTATTATTGATTAAATAAAATAGATAAATTTCAAAAGATTAGCAAGAGAAGTAGGGTAAAGTGGTTTAAATATTGAATTATTTGAATATGGAAAATCTGATTTATATGGAGATTAGGATGGACCAACTGATGAAGAATGGACAGCTTATTATAAATATTTAGTTCATTTAAATAAACATATATAAATTGAAAGAGATAAGAATCAAATAGATAGTGATATTGCTTTATGTATAGATGGTTAAAAGACAGTTGAATAACTGTATGGAATTAGAACTAATAGAAAAGATTAAATAAATTAATTTACTGATTTAAGTGAAGAAGCTTCTGAAAAAATTAGTGAAATGTATGATAAAGTAAGAGAATTAATAGATTTAACAAATAATATAAATTTGATAAATAATCTACCAAAATTAAAATCTATTAAATTAATCAAATAATAATAATTAGCTCATAATTATTTGAGTTTTTTTCAGGAAGCTCTAAAAGTTGCCAATTGTTCTTAACAATATTTAAAAACAATATGGGATAGATATAATTAAAAACCTTTTGAATTATATGTTCCTTTTAAGATTAATTATATTGGTGAATCTTTAAAGAATATTGCTAAATACTAACTTAAATGGTGTAGATATATTAAAAATGAATAAAATTAAATTACATTGTTTCCTAATAATGAAAGATTGAAATTAGCATCTTCAGTTATTTCTTAAACAATTAATTTAAATACTTTAATTAATTTGTAATTTGTTAAACAAATATTCAGTTTACATGATTAATATGAATTATTTGGATATTGTAAAAGTATCTAAAAAGCTGTAAGTGAAGAAAAGCATAATTATAAGAAAAAACCTTTTGATATTGCAAGTGAATGGAATTTAGATTATTTA